GATTTATGAGTTTGCCTTGCATAAGCTTTATGCAGGGCAAAACGGATTTATTTGGGTTTAGACTCCATTGGGAGTTGAGCATCTGAGTGCTAAAGACAAGCGCGCTACTGCGAGCTGTTTTCAGGTAAACTTGCAGCTTTGGGACAGGAGATTCAGACCCTGGATCTGTGTCTGGAGCCAGACGGGAGTGTCTGGCTCAGCAAGACAGGGTGCTGGAGTCCTGAGCTGGCAGGGAAAACAGGAGCAGGGGTAGTCTTTGCACATCTGGTGGCAGCTCCCAAGGGGGTTTCTGTGATCCAACCCGTCACAGAGGAGTCCTGGATTGTTGTTAATAAACAATTTGCACTTTACATTAGAGGATCTTACATTGCCAAACTAGCATTAATTGAGTCTTCCAACTTCTCCATGTGAAGTAGGTAAGAGGCCCATTGACTGTCAATGGGATTTTGGCTCCTAAGTGTCCAAATCCCTTTTGAAAATGAGATTTAAACCCCTTAATCAGTTAGGTGTTTCAACACAGGACACAGGAATGCCTAAATGTAGTTTAGGCATTTAAAATCAGTTCAGTGCACTGCGGCCATCTTCGCAGGGTCTGTGTTCACAGCCCAAGGTCATACAGTGATGTCAGTAGCAGATCTAAGTATGAATTCCCAGTCCCCTGCTTTAATCACTTGTCAGTGTTACTTTGCTATAAATATCACCATGACACATCATGTTGTTAGATGTCTATGCAGTTCCTTGGGGGGGGGGGGGGTGGAATGTGCACCAGTGGCAGCTCCAGGTGCAAATCTTAGGTATGTAATCCTCTGCAATTCTCCTCAGGGACACATACACTCAGAAAGGGCACTTTTAAAAGTGCCCCCCAGACTTTGGCTGTTGCTTCTAGCTTGTTCACTGAAGTGCGCATGCCCTCTGGCTTTGGAGGCCCTGCTGAAAACAGTCCATGTTCTAGGGTTTCCCCATGGACTTCATCTGGAAGATCCAAGGGTAACTGTGAAAGAAAGGCAGGGATATTTATTTTACTTAGATATTTTTTCTATGTGGGGCAACGTCCCAGGTGACCTGACGGTGGAATCACCACTGGAAAGACCGAGAAGAAGAATCCAAGAATGAGAACATTTTCTTTTTAGTAGACAATTTGCAGAACACAGCCTGCTTTCTTGATACCTAATGCAGGCACAATACAACTGGAGACAGGAGGAGGAAGGGAAGGAGGAGGATGGTGCTCATGCTGCCTACAGCAGACAGAATGATATGATTAACAAGGATCTAGGCCCAAGTCACAAAAATACAGCTCCCTCCTGATTGCATGACTCCAGTTAGAAGAAATTAGACCCCCCAGCACCTGCAAGATCCCATTGCCTTGACATTAGAAGCCACAATTCTCTTCTTAGAAATCCTTGTTTTGTCAGGTTGTTTTTAATCCATAAATAGTCGAAGAGCCTCTTGTAATCTGAAGCCAGTTTCCAGCTGCCCACTTTGCTAAGCCTGACACACAGTCTGTCCTTATCAGCTTTTGCAGGTAGAACTCTCTGCTCTTACTTTTCCTACCCACCCACCCACTGTTCTTTTCTTCCTACTTTTTGTTCCTATGAAACAAAGCTCATCAAAATAGAGTGAGTGGTTACACCATCAGAAAGCGCAACTGAAGTTATCAGCCACATGCCTTTGCATTTTGCCACTCAACATGCCTTAAAAAGTTACTTGTTTGCAGAATAACTTTTCATTCCAATGAGTGAGAGTTACATGCACAGTTTCCACTCTGATATGAGGGTTCTAGTTCATTCATACCCAGAGAATTCCTTCTTAAACTACTTCGCCATAGTTTCTGCACCTCACCATATGTTACAATAGTATAACTGGAAGTGAACATATGAAGGCCACTAGATGTGTCTGTGTGCTTGCACAAAGTTCCAGATGGAGCATGTTCCCTGGTAAACAAAGTAGACAAAGCTGGAACTCAAGCTGTATGGAAGTCTGTCTGTATCTTCAGTTAATAGCTGTTTTGGGGGTTGTTGTTTTTTTTTCAATAAACACTTCCTTTTCAGTAGATCTCTGATTTTCTCTTGATACCCTGGGTCCTACCCACCATCCATCCAGTTATGGACTGGAAATCTGCTCACTCTGGCTAATGACACAAACTAAATGGATTCCCCATGGAATTTCCTTTCTCCATCCTCTCCCTCATGCACTCGTGTCATCATTTTCTACTAAGAGGTTAAAGAAAGTAAGTGTTGGGAGTCAGAATTTTAACTTTGTTTTGTTTTTATTATGAACATAGGAACATACTGCTGTTTATCTCATCAGCAGACATAGGAAAGGGATGGCTTGCTATGCCCCAGCACAGGGAACTCACCAAGTGAGACTTTATGTGTACATGTGATGGCCACTATCTTGGCTGACACCAGGGATTGAACCAGGGAATGCCAGACCTGAAACCATGAGTATCTACAGCTCAAGGTGAAGAGACAGGCTCTATAACTGGGGACTGTAACAGACTCACATCCTCTGTAAATAAGACACAGAGAAAGGTATATAACACACACTGAGCAATGGAGAACTCACACACTTCATGCCCACACGGGGGGGAGGGAGAGCTGTAAACATGCATTAAGAGCAAACTAGACCCCTCATAACATTTAGATGCATCCTCACTTCACCACCTTGGTTTCCTTCTAGGTCATTAAGTATTAGCTATGCTGTTTCTAGATACTTTGCTTCAATGTTTTGCCTTCTCTTTATCAGATCTTGCATTTGTCCTGCTTACAGCAAAGAAATTCTGATCATAGCCACTCTTCAATCTCAAGGTACATGAGGAACACAGAAATGAAAGAGCATAGAACTGAATACAGAGAATGTGTTAAATAGTTGTTGCTGACATTTCCTGTGACAATAGCATTGCAAAGCTGAGACTCTTCTGCTCTGAAAACTAAGGAAATATGACGACTTCTTACTCAAAAGATTTGTTTCCTTCCTTCCTCTTTAGTGACAAAGACTCAGTTAACTCAGTTCTAAATGTAGGGCCAAACTGTGGTGATGTTTCTTGCCCTCAGCCCCAGTGCTATTGGACCAGGCACTCTAACTACACCTTCTCATGGCATATAAGCAATGCAAGGGCTGCCAAATGCAATCAGCTTTGGTGATCACCCATCCAAGCTGCAGTTGAACCAATCACAAAGGTAAAAAAGAATGTTTATATTCCACTACCAATCCATCTAGCTCTTGAGGGACAACCTAAAAATTCAGAATACACTGAAGGTAAAATCTAGCAGCAAATATGACATGAGAAAAGAGATCCCTTTAATTAATACACTATCTGGATATGGATCATTATACCAGTATAATATACACATGTACATTTCTTGAATGAGCAGACACTTCCTAAATAAATAGAGAGAGAGAGAAAGAATGCAACTCAAAGAATGAAGTGCAATGCTCCGCACTCAGGCCCTGATACAGGAAACACGTACATAATTGTCAAGCATGTGAGTAGTCTTATTGACTTCATTGTATTTATACTGAACCGGAAGTTTAAATGTGTGAAGTCAATGTATTTGAACATAGGCACATGATTTAAGTGGGACTACTCACATGCTTAAAAGTTAAGTGTGTGCTCAAATGCTTTGCTGAATTGGAGCCTAATACAGCGTCTTTCATCTGAGGAGGTCATGGTGCTTTAAAACACTGGTTAATAAAACCATATTGTAAAGCGGGATAGTATTATAATCACTGTACAGGTGGGGAAACTGAAGTATATTGAGGCTAAATTGCTTGCCCAAGGTCACACAGGAAACGCCGATAACAGAACCCAGGAGTCCAACCACATAGTTCCTGTCTATAGACAAGAACTCCGATCCTTTTCCTGGATGCCAGTGAACAAAAGCCCCCAACCCATGCAAGAAGCGGGGGTAATGAATGTTACCTCTGGGGGAATACTGTCATCTGAGTCCGAGCTGTCATCATAACCGCTGCCGTCTAAATTCATCTGTAAGAGCTGGTCAATGGTGGCATCCACAGCTCCATTGTTAGCCCTCAAAACACATTCAATAATGTCATAATCCATATTGGGGAACATAGTCTTGAAATCCTCCATGGCCTGATTGAACTCCAGCCGTCGCACCTGCCTGGTGGGCCGGCTGTTGTTGAGTTCCTGGGCGGAAGAGCTGTTCCTTGAGCTGCCATTGCTGCTGCTCCGCCGGAACAGGCTTGTCATTTTTGAGAGCTGTTTTTGAAAAATGTTTAATCTTTTAAAACCTACTTTAGAAATTAAAAAAGAAAGAAAGAAAGAAACTATAAATCCTAGGTGAGGAAGAGGTGGGAGGGGAGGGTGCCGCCTGCCAGCTTTGTGGTCAAGAAGCTACATAGCCATCCTTTAACGCTACTGCCCAGTAATCCAGCACACAAAGGGGAGACATCCGGGATGCCTCAGCAGAAGAGCAGGAATTGTTGTGCCAACATGGAGGGGCCTGGTTCCAAGCAGTTCTCCACTGGGGTCCTGTGCAGGACACGTCTTCAGCAACACGACAGACTCCTGAGACACTGGAGCATAATGTAACCTGGGAACAAGAAACAAAACACACTTGGAACAGAATCGTGGGGAAAACAGATCAGAACATTTTTTTTTAATAGAAAGAAGGGCTTTTTGGTTAAAAGACATGGACTTCCCTCTAAATATTTCAGGAAGTTTGTCAAAAATGATCTTGAATTCATTGAGAGAGAGAGAGAGAGAGAGAGAGAGAGAATGTGGTTTCAAGTAAATAGAAACTATTTAACAAAAAAATAGTACAAGAATGTCTCTGATACTAATTTTGATTTAAAAAAAAAATAAGTGGGGAGTGGGAAGGAGGGGAAAAAAGTGAAAATGGGTGTGTTTTCCAACCCTCCAACTTGTAGGAGGTGAATTGAAAAATACTATTTATTTTGTTTATCATTTTTATAGTGCAAATAAAAATAATATAAAGTGAGGACTGTACACTTTGTATTCTGTGTTGTAATGGAAATCAATATATTTGAAAATGTAGAAAAACATCAAAAATATTTAATAAATTTCAATTGGTATTCTATTGTTTATTAGTGCGATTAAAACTCTGATTAATCGCGATTAACTTTTTTGAGTTAACTGTGATTAATTGACCGTCCTAGTTTATGTTTTAAAGTGAATTTCGATCTTGGATTTGGTGACTTTTCCCAATGTTTGATTTGCCATGTTTGCAAAGTGTTTATCTGCTGTTCTGAAATTGCCGAAGTTGGTTTTACTTGCTTTCTGTGTTTAGAGAGACACTTAATTATTTATAAATAATAACACTGCAATTGGAGATTTTGAATGGTTTTATTTAGATTGTAACTCTTTGGGGTAGAAAATGCTGCTGTTGTTGTTGTTTATTCAGATGGTAAGCCCTTTGGGGCAGAGGCCATCTTTTTGTTCTGTGTTTGTACAGTGCCTAGGACATCAGAGTCCCGAGTCCATGACTGATTGGGGTTTCTGTGTGCTACTGTAATATGAATAACAATGAATGATTGGCTCCACAGGGTTTTTTTTCTGGACACGGTCTCTTGGAAGTTATCATATTCCTTTGATTAGGGAATCCAATACTTCCTTTTTAAAAAGCCAACTAACCTCCTCCCCTTCGAGCTGTTATTCCCATGAATTTGTAATGTACAAGGGAGGGATTTATTAAAGAGGAATTTATAACCACGCCAGAAGATAGATATGATGACTTGGAAAGGGGAGTAAGGCAATGTGTTATCCAAATTGTGGTGACGCCAGTTCCTTTTGTGGTTCTTGTTCTGAATGAGAACACTGAACTGCTCTTTAGTAGCAAATCCAAGTGACTGTGTTTATACAAATGTTTGACAGTTCTAAAATCTCTCTCTGAAGCTCCCTCTGCAGAAAACTGCTCATTTCCGTAAGTGCCATATAAACACGTCTGCTTAGTCGCTGTGAAATGTTAATAAATATTTGAAAATACAGCGTTGTGCTGTTTAGGGAGAATGTGTGGCTTAGTGGTTAGAATGGCACTGGAAGCCAGGACTTGACAGACACAAAAACACAATTGTGGTCTGCCTAGTCATGCTTTTCCTCCCAGCTTAGGAGGTAAAAGTATATTTCTCTGTCTACTGATGCCCATTACCATGGTATATGCGTACCAGTTGTATTTCTTTGCCTGGAGAGATGCGTCCAAAGTTTTAGCAGACCTAGGCCCCATTTCCAGCTTTGTTTCACCCTGCTTGGTACTTGAGATAAGTCTCCTTATTATCTGTACTTAATGTGGCTAAGGTAGAATGTAGAATTAGTTTAATATATGCAGCGTCCTAGTCTATCCAGGGAACTGTCTCCTGCCTTAGACCTTGTGACAGGATAATAGGTAATTAACAGCTAATAGGTACAAACAGTCTTTAGCAACTGTGACACTGTTTGTTAAGCGCCATGGCCTTGCTACTGGCCAAGCAGAATAAACATACGTAGTGTAAATGACCTATGTGTGCTGTGAATGGAGCTGGTCAGACCTGAAGGGTTTTTTTTGTTTTGTTTTTTTTAAATGGTGGTGTTTTCCGCTGGCTACAACAGTGCCAAGTGAACGCCTGTTCTCGCTTTCAGGTAATATTGTAAACAAGAAGTGGGCAGTATTATCTCCTGCAAATGTAAACAAAACTTGTTTGTCTGAGTGATTGGCTGAACAAGAAGTAGGACTGAGTGGACTTGTAGGCTCTAAAGTTTTTAATTGTTTTGTTTTTGAATGCATTTATTTTTTGTACATAATTTTACATTAGTAAGTTCAACTTTCATGATAAAAGAGATTACACTGCAGCACTTGTATTAAGTGAATTGAAAAATACTATCTTTTATTTTTATAGTGCAAATATTTACAATAAAAATAAACAAAGTGAGCACTGTACACTTTGTATTCCGTGTTGTATTTGAAATCAATATATTTGAAAATGTGGAAAACCTACAAAAATATTTATATAAATAGTATTCTATTATTGTTTAACAGCATGATTAATTGCGCGATTAATCGTGATTAATATTTTAATCGCTTGACAGCCCTACCATAAACAGATTATATAGCTCCTGCCTTTCATTTGGAGACACAGGGCCAAATTCATCTCTAGATTAACTCCACTGATTAATAGATTTACACCAAGGACAATTTTGGTCCATAATATACATTTTCAATGGCTTTTTCTTAATTGGCAGTTGGAGAATTCAAGACAACTGTTCCAGAAATTGTATTTAATTACTAAAGAACCCAAATCAAATTATTTTAAAATAAAAATGTCAGAAGGACCTTAGCAAAACATCATGTAATCAGATTCAAAACCATTAGGCAGAGCAATAACCTCCTAAGTCACCCATGCATAACTGTTTGATTATCATGTGTATGTATTATGCATGAAAGTTATGTTCCTTATACTAACCAATTCATGTTAGCAATAAAGCTTCAGGCTTTTACACCTTGAGTTATTCTAAACAATTTAATAGGCTGCACAGAGTAGCCCAGTATCCAAGCAAAGAACAATGACAATGCAGTAGAGATCCCTCCAGGGAACTGTACTAAGCCCAGCAGAAACATTAGACGGATGCACTTAATTTTGCACTTCTGTTTGAAGTCTCTTTTCAAAACAATGCCCTGTTCTGTAACTGATGCCTCATGGGAGCACTCTGTTTAGTAAGCATGCTAGGGTGCACCCATGTCCCCCTTTTTTTCTGTCTTATTTTGTATTCTGCATTGTAATTGAAATCAATATATTTTGAAAATGTAGAAAAACATCCAAAAATATTTACAATACATTTAAATTCATATACTATTATTGTTTAACAGTGCAATGAAAACTGTGATCAATTGTGATACATTTTTTTAATATCGTAATTAATCATGGTTAATTTTTTTAATCATTTGACAACCCTAATTATTTGTATTACGATAGTGCCTAGAGGGCCTCATTGTGCTAAGCGTTGTATATACACACACTGAGACGCTGTCCCTGCTCCAACGAGTTTACAATCTAAATCAGTGATTCTAAACCTGCGGGCTGCAGGCCGCTTGTGGACCAATCAGCAAACAGTGGTGGCCCATGTGACATCCTCAGGGCCATACAGGTAGTATATATATTGCATGGATGTGGCCCACATAACACATAGAAAGCTACATATGCAGCCCACAATGGTAAATAGGTTGAGAACCACTGACCTAAAGGAACAAGACAAAGAGGGAGTGGGAGTCAGGAACAGCACTGTTCCCATTTTACGGTTAAGGAACAGGAGGCACAGAAATTAAATGACTTGCCCAAAATCACCTAAGAAGTCTGTGGCAGAGCACAGAATTGAACCTTTTTGGGAGGCCCAGTCCAGCACCTTAGCCATAAGACCATCCTCCCTCTTCAATGAAAAAAATGGGATCTTTGTTTATATGCGTTCATCCACCCCCTCCTCAGACGAACACCTAATCCTAGCACAATAATACACTCTGTGCCCCACCTCCACTAGCTCTTATCAGCATTAGGGAGCCAAGCATAAACTCAATGTAAACATGGTTCCAACTGAGAACACGTCTACATTACAACAGCAACCATGTTGGGGGGCAAGGGGCACTGTTGCATGGTTGTCCTCTGATACAGTTACATATGGATTTGTACTGCAACGCAGATTGGACCGAACCATGTTTTAACTGTATCCGCAAATATGGCCAGCCTTGCACCATTTAACCACCATGCGGTAAATGGTTCCTTCAATTCAGCGATGTTTGCAGCATAGACAGGACATTAGAACACATGGCATAAGGAAGGCTCTAGTGCAGCGTTTCTCAAACTGGGGTCTGCAGACCCCTGGGGGTGCCCGAGGGTACTCCAAGGGGTCCACGGGCCACACTGATCAACTCCTCCCCCTCCCTCCCTCCCTCATCTCCTACCGTTCCCTCTATCTCCCGGATGTTACTGAAGCCAAACCAGGAGATTTTAGGAGCTAAAAGTTCAGCCACGCAGCGGGTCTAAGGCAGGCTCCCTGCCTGCCCTGGCCCTGCGCCGCTCCCGGAAGCGGCTGGCATGTCCCTGTGGCCCCTGGTGCGGGGGGGGTCTCCGCACGCTGTCCCCACCCCAAGTGCCGACTCTGCAGCTCCCATTGGCCGCAGTTTCTGGCCAATGGGAGCTGCAGGGGCAGTGCTTGCAGGAAGGGGCAGCACATGGAGCTGCAGCCAGAGAGATGTGCCAGTTGCTTTCAGGAGCTGTCAGAGATAAGCGCTGCCCAGCCAGAGCCTGCACCCCCTCCCGCACCCAAACTCCCTCACAAAGCCTGCACCCTCCACACCCACCTGCACCGCAACTGCCTCCTAAAGCCCACACGCCCTCCTGTATCCCAACCCCCCGCTCCAGCCTACTGAAAGTGAGTGAGGGTGGGGGAGAGCGAGTGATGGAGGGAGGGGGGAATGGAGAGAGCGGGGGGCAGGAAGAGGTGGGGCGGGGACTTGGGGAAATGGGTGGAGTGGGGGTGGTGCTTGGGGCTGAGCGGGTGGGCTTGGAGGTCCCTGAAAAATTTTAAAGCAAAATGGGGGTCCTCGCA